CCCACAGTTCTGTAAGTACATCTACCTACACACAAACACAGGACCCACAGTTCTGTAAGTATATCTACCTACACAAACACAGGACCCACAGTTCTGTAAGTACATCTACCTACACACAAACACAGGACCCACAGTTCTGTAAGTACATCTACCTACACACAAACACAGGACCCACAGTTCTGTAAGTACATCTACCTACACACAAACACAGGACCAACAAATGTGTAAGTACAGCTACCTACACACAAACACAGGACCAACAAATGTGTAAGTACATCTACCTACACACAAACACAGGACCCACAGTTCTGTAAGTACATCTACCTACACACAAACACAGGACCAACAAATGTGTAAGTACATCTACCTACACACAAACACAGGACCCACAGTTCTGTAAGTACATCTACCTACACACAAACACAGGACCAACAAATGTGTAAGTATAGCTAAATTCACAAACACTCTAAAACACACATACAAATCATGTGAGCAATCCATATTTCCACTGACCTTTTTATCCATATTTCCACTGACCTTTTTATCCATATTTCCACTGACCTTTTTCTGGAATTTTATAGTTAGTATGCATTAGGATTTTTGTTTAAAATTAGAACTATTCATGTGACATTGTTCAGGAATAATATTAAGTCTGTTGATAATAGTTTTTCAGGATTGATTCATTTTCCACCAGGAAATTGTAACAATAACATCTGCATTGTTTCTCTCCATTCTTCCTTCCTTCTCATGTCAAGGCTCTATTGCCTTCACTGTTTATCACTGTAACTTTATGCGCATTGTCTGGGTCAACCTAGGTGACATTTACCTATATTTTGACCTTTGAATTACATTATGTGGGCACAATTTTCTATACTTATTGTCAAAGTAGCCCCTTAATTAGGTCCAAACTATGTGAGGAGTTAGTATCAAAAGTAGATCACTTTGATGTACTTTTTAACCTTTGACCCCAATCCAGGTTGAATACTTTGATTCAGATTAATGATATGAATTATTTGTTTGGATGTCTGATATTGCTAACGAGTAATTGTCATTAATTAATTCATTCCCTTTTTTACCACCAAGTTATGTGATAACACGCTGCACAATACATTGATGTGATTAAGAACTGTACATTTTACACCTAGTTTTGTTCTCACAGTTGTTGCTACCAAACAGTTAATAATTTTGTAACGTTATATTCATTTATTAATATCACTTTAGATATTTAGTCCACCATCATCGGATGGTTGGCTATTCAAATCGCCCTACATCCATTGTACATGGTCCGTCCGCCTGTCTGTCCATAACCAATTTTTGTTATCGCTATTTTTTATGGCTATTTCTCAGATTTCATATGTAGGTTCCCTTTGGTCCCTAGTTGAGCCTGTTTGATGTTGGGAAAGATCACAACAAAAATGGCTAACAGGTGGCCATCTCGGATTTTTTCAATGAAGTTTGTTATCACTATTACATGAATCCTTCTCAAATTTCCAATGTAGGTTCCTCTCGATCTCTAGTTGTGCCAGTTAGATTTTGGTACTGATTAAAAAAAAAAGTGACCTACAGGAATCCATCTTGAATTTTGACTTTAAAATATTGTTATAGCTGCTTCTTGAGAATTACCCCATAGATCTTTATCATGCTCTTCTTGGTCACTAGTTGTGCCTGTTTGAATTTGGGAATGACCAGGAAGACAAAATGGCAGACAGGCAGCCATCTTGGATTTTGCCTAGTAGAGATTGTTATCCCTATTTCTTAAGATGTACTGAATGGATCTCTCAAATTTCGTATGTATGTTTCTTTTGGTATCTACTTGTGCCCTTTTCACTTGGGACTAATCAGAAGAAACAAAATGGTTTCCAGGCGACCATTTTGGATTTGGTAGGTAAAGATGAGTGCGGTGATTGCTCTTGGATCTCTTTTTGTAGTACTGCAGTAGTTTTTGTCTCTAGCTATTTCACACATTTGCATCCATATTTTGTTTGTTTTAGGGAACAACAATCATTTACAGACATCGGACAACATACCTCTTCCTCCGCTAACCAATCAGCAACGTAAGTTTAGTTTCTCAGGTCTAATATTTTACGGTTGTCACGATATTTTGGCAAGTTCATGAGAATTCTATTTTTGTTTTCTTAACATTTAGCTGTAAACAAGAATTTGTGTTCTACATTGATATCCTTGTGTGTAACATACATTTTTAGCTCATCTGACCCGAAAAGATCAAATTTCTTAAAATATTTATATGACTTCTTCTCATGAACAAAAGAACTAGAGGAATAATTATTTGGCTGGTATGTACCTAAGATGAAGCCCGACAAAGTTTGCAAAAACAAGTGACCTTGACTGATATTCAAGGTCATTTCACAGGAGGCAAATTTGTTAGAACATTTTAACAACTTCTTCTCTTGAACTAAAAATCCTAAAGAAATAATAGTTGGCTGGTATATTCCAAGGATGAAGCTTGAAAAAGTTTTTGAAAAGAAATGATCTTGAATAAAATTCAAAGTCAAAGGGGTCAAATTTGTTAAAACCTTTAAATGACTCATCTCATGAACTTCAAGGCCTAGAGGCATGATATTAAACAGGTAGATATATACCAGGTGAGTGCTGTAGGCCCATTGTTTGATATTTTGAATCATTTTGAAAATTATTCCTAGTGTTTGATTTTGCACTGTCTTTACTGACACTATGTCATCATAATATCAGTGGCTCTATGTATTACATTTTTATTAACTTGGCTCGACTAAAAATATTTAATATTACAATATTACGCTTGTGACCGCTTTGATTAAGACATGATCATGTTGATGTCTTTCATGATTTTACAGATTCAGTTTTCAATAATTTGTGAAATATTTTGTGATAGTGACCTAGATATTCAATACACCATGACATATTTTGTGATTTTGACCTGATTGTTTAATATGCCATGACCAATTTTATGTTTTTGACCTAAATGTTCAATATACCATGACTTATATTATGATTGTGACCTAAATGTGCAATATACGATGACATATTTTGTGATTTTGATTCCAACAGCTCCTGAGTTCTGGTGCACCATTACATATTTTGAGCTGGACCAACAGGTGGGCGAGACTTTCAAGGTGCCATATAGTTGTTCTACAGTAACTGTTGATGGTTATACTGACCCCTCCAGTTTGGACCGCTTCTGTCTCGGACAGTTGTCTAATGTCCACCGAACGGAGGCAAGTGAAAGAGCAAGGTGAGTTACTGAACATCAATGAGCCACAGAAAGGTGGCAGCTTGTTATGAAATAGAATGGTGAACTTTTTAGATGAAAACATGAATAGGTTGATCCTGACTGACCCCCAGGTGCTGTTAGGCAGGGCCAGTTAGGCAGGGCCAAAAGGGATCAAATTGACTTAAATTTTTAAAATCTTCTCAACACCGAGGTATGATCAAATCAAATGCTCTTCTAGGATGGAAGCTTCTTAAGGTGCTTTAATTACCAAAATGGCTGACACATTTCGTCCTGAAGGGAGGTTAACCTGACTATAATTTTTATAGAAAAAATTCATTTTTGAGCATAATTTTGTTATTTCCAACTGGAATAAGATTTACTAGTATAGGATGACAGTTTTAATGGTATGCATGTATTGACTCTGGCTTACTCTCATCAATGTCACAATTTCTTTTTCATGACACTTGAAAGCTACTTAACCTTTAACCTTTATACTCAATATTGCTTATCTCAGGTGAGCGTCAAGGTCACAAGGCCTCTTGTTTGTTTTAATCTTACTTTCATTGTAACATCTTTCAAACTCTTGGGGAAATCTTTAATGTATAACAATCTTGAAAATATACAGCATTCAATTTGCATCTCGGCATATCTTGAAATTAAGACTATTTTGAAAATCAGCTAGTCTTAAAATTATTCAATATTCTTGTTATTTAAAGAAAAAGATGTATTCTGCTGCTGTCCTTATGAAGATTATGGAAAATATAATATTAACATTACATAGGCATCAGATTTTGTGTGTGATATATTGCCTATTCATGTTGTAGATAATGAAATGCAGTTGAATCTTGCTCGAGTCAAAATTTTTTGTTTGAGTCAAAATAATTTCCAAATCCTGATTATTTTCCTTCTTTATCTTTGTAATTTTAGTTTGGATGACTTGAATTTCATCGAGTCGAATCTTGTTGAGTTGAAGCGATGTTTCAGTCTCTTCAATAGTAAAGTCATAGAAAAAATCATTTGTTGTCTTAAAATTAATTAATGTCTAAGCAGTGAGGCGTCTTTCGAAGAAATCAGTCAATACATACATAGAGTCAAATATCATCTGTGCGTAAGGCATGGCTCATTATGGCTTATCAGTGTATGTACACACAACATTTGGTCTCTGACAATTAATTACCAGCTTAATTATTCAAATAAATGCTTGCTTCTTAATTAGTATCACTATCCTATAGCAATGAATTACCAGTGTGTTAAACAAGTAGCGGGAATACACAAGCTTGTGGTGTACATCTTAAGGAATGATAACAGCTAAACAGCCTATCCAGTACAAACATTTCAGTGAATCTGATCCCCAAAATTTTGAGAAACTAATATGTGTGCTTGTTTGTTAAAAGACTTTATACTTTGCTTGGACAATGCAGTGCTAAAAGCATTTTTTGTTGAAAGAGTCTATATCTGTGCAAGATTTGTTCAGTCTGGTGCTTGTAAAAGTTCTCTTTAAGAGGTAAAAACTGATCATTTACTGTTACATTGTGAAATTGTAGCTGGTACCCTATTCAACATCAGAAAACTGATATTGTCAACCTTATTCAGATACTTTGTTTAAGTCAAAATTTGGAGTCCAAATATTTTCCGTGGTCTCTCAAATTTGGAGATAAAAAGTTTTGACTGTTTTGATGAATTGATAAGACTATGGTTTGCTTTAGGTTACACATAGGAAAGGGAGTACAGTTAGACTACCGAGGGGAAGGTGATGTTTGGATACGCTGTGTCAGTGACCACAGCGTCTTTGTCCAGAGTTACTACCTCGATAGAGAGGCAGGGCGTGCTCCAGGTGATGCTGTGCACAAAATATACCCAAGTGCATACATAAAGGTGAGATATAGTCAGATAAAGGAAACAGAATGAAGATGGCACAGGGAATGATTACCTGGTTATGATATCTGTATTAACATGTATACTTACCAATCAGAAGATGTGTCATAACATCACATGACTTTCTACTACTGGTGCATATTGAATTGTATTATTCCTTGTGTTCAGCTGTATCCTTGGTTACTGTTTTGATAAACACACTTAACATATGTGAATTGGAATGCATTCCCCTAATAATGATGATTCTGCTAATTATATAGATTCCATTGTTAATCCTTATGTATTCCACTGTGAAGGGTTCGTCATAATATTCCCTTGTAATTTTTTTCTGCAGGTATTTGACATAAGACAATGCCACCGACAGATGCAGCAACAAGCGGCCACTGCACAAGCTGCAGCTGCAGCTCAAGCTGCCGCTGTGGCAGGAAACGTTCCTGGACCAGCCTCTGTTGGGGGTATTGCCCCTGCTGTTGGTAAGTCAGTGGTATTATAGGACATGACCGGTGTTACATTTATTGCATTACATTAAGCTTAATTATGTGATTTGTACCACAATGTGTTATTGATGATGGGGGGATGTTAACAACATCTGTTGGTCCTGCCAAGTCACACATGAAATTTCATCCTGTGTTATCCCATTTAAAATCATTGCCATATCATGTTAACCCCTTCACAGATTTGCTTCCCATTGACCCTGTATTATCATGACTCTGGTAAGCTAAAGAGTGGGAGAATTCATTATCTTGTATATGAACCTTAGGTCTCAGTCTGATAAGAAGTTTAGTCTTGACGTAGATTAATGTTTTAAATATTTTTCTTCCTATTATTCCCAGCTACTCTTTTCCTAGCTTTAGATACTTTTTAATTGTGAGAAGTATAACAGATTACATTCTGATCTCCCTGAGTTATTGCCCTTTGTTTTCACTCTGTCAGTACCTCTGATGTATCCTGCCAGTTTTTTCTGGGTCAAGGCTCAGTCATGTGACCTCTCTCAGCCAATTTGTGCTTTATGTTACAAAGTTTTGAGAAAATTGTTTTCTGGGTAGAAATTGGGAACAGATAGGTTTACACCAATCAGAACTCACCTTACATACACCGTTCTGTTTGAGATAATAGCCGAGAACATACATCATTATAAGTTTCTGCATTAATATTCTCTAATTAAATTTGACAAGGTGTTGATTTTCTAATTAATCATTAATATATAACAATATACATAGATGGATTTGAACAGTCTTAACGCTTCAGTTTTTATCAAACAGTGACTGTGTAGTAATGTGCAGATACCTGAAGTTATCAATGGTAGTATTCAATTCATAGAACTATATTAAATCACATGACATCCTTTACAAGTCGTTCATTATTATATCATACGAAGGATGTTTTATGGTTCATCTGAATAAAAAGAAGTGTGCTCGTCAGTAATGGACGTTGAAACATCTTTTTAATGAGACTTAGACCAAGGATTCATCGTGCAGATATATATACTATAGATACATAGCTGGATATATACTTAAGTAGGATATGGAAATGTTATCAAAACCAAGTAAGGTGACGATACTTTTTCACGGAAACTTTTAATATGGTTTTCCTTTCATATTTATATTTGAAAATGTATCATTAATTCTCAAAATTCTTTTATATCGGTAGACGGCTGTTATAGAATACTGTGACCTGTTATCATGAAAGTGATTGGTTGATTTCAAAATGTGTTTATTAAGTCATATTCTCTCTCGTAACTCATGTAAGAATGTTTTGATCTGCTGGTGCGGACTTAGATATAAGTCTATATCAAAGTCTGCGGTACTTGTGAAGGGTGAGCCTCTGTTATACTGTAATAAAGGTGACATCTGATCTTCTAGCGTTCTTATCCAGGTGAATTCACAATTCCAATTAACTTTTTAATGTCAAAGTTTGGTGTGACCCCTAATCTTCTCTGACTGTCATGCTCACCGTCGCACAACATACCCATTTAGCTGAATTTATAACCCAAGGCGCTAACAAATAACAGGTCCATGTATAACAGAAAGAAAAATGAAAGATATTGAATTGAGTGTCCAATGGGATCTGCCCTTAATTATTGCATAAGGAAGATATAATTTTCAGATCAAAAATAAATGCATGATAAATTAACATGGACATACATATATATTTATATTTGGATGAACATGTATGATTTTATTGAAATTCTCATTTTTCCTGAAGTGAGCTGACCAATCATTTTGTTGGTACTAAGGTATTCTGATTACCAACACAAATTAAATTATACAGAACTAATAAAAAGGAAACTTGCTTTAAAACGTCTGAAATGTTTTGTCTCTGATCTTTTGTTTAAGAAATGTATATATATCTATATCAAAATCTGTGCTTTTCTTTTGTCCATTTTTAACATCAATGCAAATTTTTGATATCATCTGCCGAGAACACTTATATTTTCTGTTCCAAATTTCAACAGTTTACCTAACAATATACTATCTACACAGAGAAGTATTATTGATCACATGTGCTTTTACCTGTTCACTTCAGAAGTAAATATGATCATATATTTCTTACAACATTTTATTATGATAGAGCTTTGACATGTCAAGAGAGCAAGTTTCAGTCCACATCAGGTTTGGAAGATTTTTTGTATCGCTGATTCTGATTGGTCAGTGCAAAAAAGGAGCACTGTGCATGTAATTTAGAAATTATCTCAGGATAACCAGGAGGATAGTATAAGTATGATCTTGGCAGACAATGAGGGTTCAGAATGAACAGATTGCAGAATAACTTATTTGTTGATTTTTGTAAAACCTTAAATACACATTGTGTTGCTGTGTTACTAAGTTATATCGTTCCTTACCTGTATATTCCATTTTCAGGTCTTAGTGCGGCTGCTGGTATTGGTGTAGATGATTTAAGACGACTTTGTATTCTACGTCTGAGTTTTGTTAAGGGCTGGGGACCAGACTATCCCCGTCACAGTATTAAGGAGACTCCATGTTGGATTGAAGTTCAACTCCACCGCCCACTACAACTCCTGGACGAAGTTCTACAGACAATGCCACTTAGCAGCGAAGTACGGCCACGTGGCTTCTTCCTAGGCTAGACTCTCATAGCAGTTTTTATTTATCACATTGCCACCACTTGTTTCCTGGACTACCACACAATGATTATTTCACTGAGGAAAATATCCAGCATTTTAAACAAATGCAGGTTACTGCCATAGCTCATTCTAAAATGTGACAGAAGTTGGTTTCCAGTGAGAAGTGTTCAACCCTGATGTTCAATGTGGAAAAGGGAAAAAAATTTCAATGTCCAAACCAAGTGCTGAATTTCAAAAATCTTCAACCTAGAGTTTGTAATTCCTTTCCATGCTTTTCTTGAGAAAGACTTGAATATATTATGCCACTGGAAAATGAATTGCTGTGCCAAGTAAGCTGCTCTTACCTAAGAAATAGACCAACAAATCATTGATCTCTACAGAAAGAGTAGAATATGTAATAGACAAAAGGGTTATGTTTTCTGTGTGGGCAATATAGAATTCTGAAAGGAGTTAAACCACAAGATGTGACGAGATGCTGAACAATATTTTAAACATTAGTGTAGAAATTCTGTAAGATCTCTAACAGTATTGAAGAGATACTGTAATGTCTTTGTTACTGAGACAAGATGCTATAAGACCTTTGTAACTATAATGAGGAGATGCTATAAGACCTTTGTAACTATAGTGACATGATGTTGTAAGATCTTTGTAACTATAATGACAAGATGCTATAAGATCTTTGTAACTATAGTGATGAGATGCTATAAGACCTTTGTAACTATAGTGACGAGATGCTTTAAGATCTTTGAAACATCGGTGTTGAGATTCTGAAAGATCTCTTTCAACAATATTGACTAGATGCTATGTATAGAAATCACATAGAGTTGAGATTTGTTAGGGAATAAAACAGCCACATTATAAGGTACTTAATGATGACCAGTACTGACTTGAAAACTTTGTTAGATTCTGACATTTAACTCTTGGTGCGTATATCATGTTTAATTTGTTGTTATTGTTTGTAAAGACATTCTTGTTCCATAGATTACCGGTGCACCACAAATGTAAATATTGTACCATCACCGACACCATCATTACTGATAATAAACATTGTAACCAGTTCTTCCATGGTTACTAATGGTAATCATATGTAATCATCATTCATGGATTTCATGGGAGTCAAATGATTTTTATAGTCACTGACAGAAACCTGCCCATTGTAATCATTCATTAAATCTTAATGCAGAAGTTTTAGTTCATCATAGGAATAAGGAAAGGATGTGGATTTTTGTTAAAAATTGACTGATCTTAAAAAAAAAATGACGTGAAGTTATAATGTTATAAGAGTGCATACAAACAGTCTAAGGGTCAATTTTTCTTTAAGGGCTCATGAACAAAGTTTGAGAACGGCATTGGAAATTGTCTGGTCTATAAATGCCAACTGGAAGCAATTCAATGCTTATATAAGATTTGTTTCTAAAGATAAACATAAATTGGTCTTTTTTATGCTAAAAAAGTAAACAAAGCTTTATTTCAAAGGTTGTGTGATGGAGATTGTTGAAATGGTATCATCATTTAAGAAAATAAATGTTTCATACGATCAAACTTTGGTGTATCATGTAAATGTTGTACTGTTACCTTTGTCAATTTTCTTGTCCTTCTAGATACACAGATTGATTTTAAAAGGTTTGTTATTTTATAATTGCACGAATTTCATTTACATGTTAATCATATTTATGTAGTCTGTACAATTCTACATATCCATAAGTCTCCTTGAATATTCATAAACCTTCATAAATAACCATAAAGCTTCATAAATATGCATAGTCCTGAATGCATTAGAGCGCTTTGTTCCATCCGTCAAAATTATAGCTGTATGCTTTTGGGGGTCTTTAAAAAAGATATGGAAAAAGTCAATAATGATTGATTTTAACTTGTGTTAATCTGTGGGTAATGATCCTGATAATTCTGATGTACATGTAAAATGTATCACCAGGAGAAGTACATTAATATTACCATGTAATTCACAGAGTTTTACTTTATAAAATACTCTAAAATAATTTGATCATCTTTGACACAAAAACAGCAGGGCTTTTTGGCAATCATTAGCAGGCTGTCAACCGATTCCTATATTTTCCTATATTTTGGTTCAAAACTTATATTTTGAAAGATCTCCTTTATTTCCTTTATTTTCCTATTTTTTAAAAAAATATTCTTATATTTTTCAGGAAATTTATCGCCGATAAATGTGAGATTGTAAATATTTCTTTAATACTGCATTTTGGCTTCAGTATTTTAGTTTTTAGTCTTTAACAGCATCACCAGCCACCAGAAAATGACTCAGTGCATCTCTTTATTATTTGTATGGGCACTTGCAAGGCAGTACAAAAGGATATTGGCCTTTTAGGTGCCCATTGAGATGATGATGATGATGATGTTGATGAGCTATGCAGAAGAATTGTTAGTATAAATGCCTTTGAATGAAATGATTTTCATTTGGAGAACTCTTATATTTTGCCTAAGCACTAGAAAAAAACCTATATTTGTTGGAAAAAATATTCCCATATTCCTGCTATATTTTGAAGGAGACTTGGTTGACAGCCTGCTTAAAGGAAAAGCTCTAGTAGAAATCATAAGTAGTAAACTATATATTTTGGGAATTCGGCCATATTATGAAATAAATCGAATTGGGAATGGGACCCACAGAAGAGGTCCCAGGTAAAACGCTGCAAATATGAAATTTGTCTTGAATCAGAATTCAGGCAAAGAAACCACTTTTAAACAATGTTCGTTAGATTTTATGTGGTAGATATTTTGTCTACAGGATTCACTTGATTCATTCAGGCTCCATAGTACATGTTCATCAACATATATCATCATGTTGTCTATTTATGCATGCATCTTTACCTATTCAAAAAGTCTGCAGATTCTCAGACCATCATATTGTTTATTTTTAGCTCAACTGGCCCTTTGGACAAGAAATGACCTTGACTTGTATTCAAGGCCACAGGGGTCAGAATTGTTTAAAAAAAACTTGAAACTACTTCTCCTCATGAGACATGATGTTTGGCTGGTATATAGCAGATGAGTGCTGCAGGCCCATTGGTTGTCTTGTTGTCTTAACCTATTACTACCAAAAGTCTTCAGATTCACAGACCATCATTTTAAAAATCAAAACCAAACAAAGGCAAACAAAAATTGCAGTTTGCAAATATTCATTTTAATTTCCCGCCTCCCCACCCCACCACTACTACCACCACTCACACACACACACACACACACACACACACACACACACACACACACACACACACACACACACACACACACCAAAACCTTTTGTTTGTATCAGTGGGATTACACCACTGTAATTTGCAATGACATGAATGGGTGAATTGTTACCTAAATGTTCTAAGGGATACGTGTGTTTATTTTAATCTCAAAAGTATTACTCCGAAATCATAAATTATCTGATGGAAACAAGTTACAAAAAAATCTACAGTGGAAGAAAAATAGTTGTCATGGTGATTATTTATGATGATCAGTAAAGTTTAAAAATAATCAGTATTGTCTGAGAAACTGACGATTAATTTCCTTTGACCTACAATTGTCATTGTCATGCTTTATCGTTGAAAGAAAGTCCTGATTTTGTCTCATCCAGTCAAGGATACATTTCCTCGAAGAAATTCACTTTTCAGTGATTTGTAAATGGATTGGTAGACCCCTTCAAATTTTTAACCTATTTAATATTTACCATTATGTATATATACATGCTCATTGTGTCATTTTTATGTCATATTCATTAATAAAGAATTACAATTTTTTTTTGATTAAAAAAATCAACGACACCATCAAATGTCATTCCTAGTAAATTCAAAAGCATTTATTAAACATGGAATCAAAGTCAGTGTTTTGTTTTTACCAATAAATATGCATGATACCAACATAATGGTCAACTTAACCCAAGAGGCCATTGAACTAGTGCCATTGTGTGGCCAAAGCCATCAAGATGGCAGTATCAGCTCTCTTCCAAGCAGGTTCCATATTTTTAACTTGTAAAGCATGTCAGGGAGCATTGTTTCCATTAAACTGTTAAGGGAGTATTGTTTCCACTAAGCTGACTATAGAATTTTGTCTCCAAGTGAATTAGAGAATGGTGTCTCCGTGAAGCCGACAAGGGAATTATTGTCTCTCTGTCAAGCTTACAAGCAAGTATTTTCTCTCCATTAAGCTGACGGGGAATATTGTATCTCCATCAAGTTGACCGGGAATATTGTCTCTCCATCAAGTTGATTGGGAATATTGTCTCTCCATCAAGTTGATTGGGAATATTGTCTCTCCATCAAGTTGACCGGGAATATTGTCTCTCCATCAAGTTGATTGGGAATATTGTCTCTCCATCAAGTTGATTGGGAATATTGTCTCTCCATCAAGTTGACCGGGAATATTGTCTCTCCATCAAGTTGATTGGGAATATTGTCTCTCCATCAAGTTGATTGGGAATATTGTCTCTCCATCATGCTGACTAGGGAGTATCGTTCGTCTCTCTATCAAGCTGGCTAGTGAATATTGTCTCCATGAAGCTGACAAGGGATTTGTCTCTCTATCCAGCTGACTAGGGAACATTGTTTTCATGAAGCTGACAAGGGATTTGTCTCTCCATCAAGCTGACAATCAAGTATTGTCTCTCCGTCAAGTTAAGACGGAAACCGAAGAAGAATTTTCTGAAGAGCCACCTGTCAAATGTGTAGTGTTTAAATATCGGAATGGAAATCTTAGAGAAATGTTCTATTATGATTTCGTTAAAAAGAGCATTGCCAAAGTTCAAAACACAGGCGAAAATATTAGATGAAAAACGAATGTTGGTTTTTGGTTACTTAAAAATGTTGTTTCATTTAAAAATTTGTATTTTTCTGGAGCATGAAGTAGGAACTTGCCCTGTTGGCTGAAACCTTACACACTACTATTTCTTATAATAAAAAAAGCGAAACAAACTACTTTTTCTGAGGATTGAGTGAGCAAAACAAACTGCTCTTTCTGAAGATTAAATAGGCGAAACAATCTACTCTTTCTGAAAATTAAATATGCGAAACAAATTCTGTGAGAGAATGAAAAGATAAAATGAAATGAAATCGCTGTCGGGCCGGATTAACTCATGCTAGCAAAATGAAGAAAGCACTTCGAAATACTTAGTATGTAACTTCCTGATACCAATTGGTGTGTTTTAAACTAATTATACAGATGTTTTGTCCTTCAGGGTCTTGTCAGTGATGTTCAAGGCCCTATGTGTTGATAATATAGAGGCAGATGAGTGAAATAAAAAAATTGGTGAAAAGACGTATCAAAATCAAGGTGCAATAGACCCATAATGAAATACATCTTCTTAATTTCAAATATCTGTATTTTCTGTGACCTATTGCTATCGCCTTTTGTACAGGCGCACTGAATATAGCTCCCATCCCCCATGGGCATGAGGGGCGGGTCCAGTAATGGTCAAATTGATCGAAACTTCAAAAATCTTCTCAATTCCCGGTTCAGGCAGTATCAATTACTCTTCATGGATTGAAAGGCCTTCAGATGCTTAAGTTCGTTATCTCAGTGTCTCACATTTCCGCTAGGGAAGGGATAAAGTCGACTAAAGTCTTATAGATGATTACATTTCTAAACATTATTTCTTTATTCTCAATCAGAAATAGTTGAAACTATTATTTGTATGAGATGACAGTCTGATGTGACTGTACCCCCAGTGACTGATGGACAGATATAGAAGAATCAAACCCTCGTCAAGTATGTGAGTGCTTTACTAAAATATAATGACCACAGGATCTCGCATTTCCCCTTGGCGGGTGGGGAGGGGGTGTCTCCTGGTTTATATAGGGAAATAACATTTTTATATCTTAACTTTTACAAAATCCATTTTCCTTTATTAATTACTGTTCATAGATGGAAGAGTTTACAAGAAAACCATCAATTCTATTTGTTACTTCTTTTAATTCAGACTAAGAAGCCTTAGTATGGGGCACAGTATATTTACAGTTTACATTAGCTGTGTACAATATAGTTAAAGCGTTATCTTATTTTTCTAAATCATTTCTAGGGCGTCATAAATGAAGCATTGTAACTCAGGTGACCGTTAAGGTTCTTGGGTCTCTCGTTTTAAAGTGTGAAGTACACGAGTATAATAGTGTTACAAAGTCAAACGCGACTATCAATTATTGTATATTGACAACTGAACCAGTACAAGAACCTTTTTTAACAGTTTTGACATATTTCTTTCAAAGTAATGTAAGTAACCTGCACGTTACACTGTCAGCTAACATGATAACAAGACAAGATAAAACAAACTCTGGTAGTTTCTTGTTTTATTTAATAAAAATATCTAACGCAAAACAAGAATGAAATAAGGTGGGGAAAAAACACTGTGAACATCTCTGTCAAATCTCTCATGTTTTGGTACATGATGCATTATTTGTTAACAAATTTATTGATTGATGAAGAAACCCATTTCTTATTTGTCTAACTCCTTTCTACAAACTGACTGACGGAGGAAACCATTTGTTATTTGTCTAACTCCTTTCTACAAACTGATCGACGGAGGAAACCATTTGTTCTTTGTCTAACTCCTTTCTACAAACTGATCGACGGAGGAAACCATTTGTTATTTGTCTAACTCCTTTCTACAAACTAATTGACGGAGGAAACCATTTCTTATTTGTCTAACTCCTTCCTACAAACTGATTGACGTAGGAAACCATTTGTTATTTGTCTAACTCCTTTCTACAAACTGATTGACGTAGGAAACCATTTGTTATTTGTCAAACTCCTTTCTACAAACTGATTGATCGTCGTTATTTCACTAACTATGATGGTTGACTTCTGCCTTTTTCTCAGCGTGTTTTACCTGAACTGTAGGGCGATAGAAGTAATATGAATCGCTGTTCATGATGATAACGAAATCCTAAAAAAAACAAGTGGTTCCCGGCTATCATATCTGGAAACTACAGGAAAATGAAAATATATATCGAAGGTGAGGTTTATAACTAAATGGCTATGGAAATGGAAACGAAAGTTGTTTTGAAATGATGATCTTGAGACTGTTTGTACAAGAATTCTCACAAGAAATGAAGTACTCAAATTGTTCATCCATAGATGAAAGTCAATGGTTTTGAAAAAGTACGCTCAGGCCTTTAAGTAATCTGGTCTCTACAGTGATCTGACAAGTTGGACAGTTCAATGTGCGTCTGTGATGACGCATTGTCTTGTTTTAATGAAAAACTTGATTTAGAGAAATTGACGTAACACACCCAAGCATTACGTAGTGAGAATAACATTGTTATATACTTTACATTTCATCATGTTCAAGTTCATTTTGCAGTGTTTTTTGATGATCAGTTTAGATTTTATCCGAGTTTAACCAACGATTGTTAACTTAGATACACGTAAACCTGAGAGCAGGGTCAACGGCAGCATTCATGCTGGGGTTGGTTTCATCTGACGGACTTTTGACGCCTTTCTTGCACATGTTCCGAGTTGTCTCCCTTGCATTTTCCCAATCCACGGCACCATACATTAGTGTTTGCTCATATATGTAGATCCCATGTTCTTCTGTGTCGGGAATAAACCATTCAGGAGATACGGTTCCGATGTTGCTTGATCCAGTATTAATATCATGTGATTTGATTTCGCCTTCCCATGACACAGTACATAATCGTCCTACTGGGGTTATTGTTACTTTGGTATAATCGTGTTGACTTTGAGATCCAGTTGATGAAATAAGGTTTTTGAATAACGGAAACTTGCCACTGCATTTGTACTCTATACAAGCTCCACTGTTCTCCACATATTCCTGACGAATTCCCAAGACTGTATCTTCTATTCCGCTATTTGTGCCTGCCTTACTTCTGACTGAAAAAGAAAGATTTGCAGATGAGCCAGTTACTTCTATTTTTATCATACAGATTGTGAAATCAGACATGTCGAGAGTTTTTTTGTGTGGATACCACAACTTCGGTCCGATGTCATCTGTGTTTGAGGAACGTTCATAGGCTTCAATTGGATCGATATTCAAGAGAGTAAAATCGGCGAAGTTCGAAGTTGAACGTTGGTAGAAATTAAACATGTTTATTGACGTTAACGAACCATACTTCTTAAATGGACCATCACCAGATAGCAGGAATTTGGTTTTTACGGCAAGGGGGTCCGTTGTTGTTTCATAAGTCAGACGGGAACGAGCAGACTGTGCTAGTCCACTAAGACTGGAAATACCTGGCTCATATTCTTTCCCACTTTTAAATGCTTGGATATAACCCCACGCATCACTACGGCAAAACGTATATTGCCACCCATCACTGTTGCTCGAAGATTCCTTGATCGCTGTGACATATTCTGCGTTGCTGCCAGGATACCTTTCTCCAGGATACGTCATGTGCATCACTCGTACAGTGTAGCCATTAACGGGAATATTGTTTTTATCCGTAACGGCGGTTCTGAAGTAGCATCTGGAGAACCCTCTATAACAGTCTAAATTGATTGCCTGGAATGCACTTACTTGAACTTGTCCTACGAGATAATTTTTCGCAGTTTGTCTCTTACGTCGTTTTGATGTCTCCACGACTGTGGGTCCAATCTCTTCCCATTGCCCGGTCGCGGAGTTCAGTCCCCACAACTTCACATCGGTAACATTTCCAGAATATGTGCTCTCAACAAGTGCAGCGTCCAGCTTGATGGTAACGTTTCCAGCAATATTCACTTTGTTTCCAGATTCATCTGAAAAATCCATAACGATAACGCCAAATGTTTGAAGATCCTGTGTTTCACCCTCTGCATCGATGGATTCGAACGTTCCGGGAGCGGATGAAATACTACTCAGGTTTCTAGGATCAAACATGTTGATTCTAGCTTTCACCACTCCGTTATAAGGGTTTCCCGACTCGTCCACGAATGAGTTCGATGGTAAGATCACCTCTGATACGGCCGGCATTCCGCTATAATTGCCCATCGAAATTGTGTTTTCAACATCTGTGGAAATGGTGATCGGAGGGGCAGCTTCCATCATTGTAATCTGCTGGTAAACTGGTCCTTCCATAGAATCCGAAAATGTAATCAGTCGTGTAGTGGTCAGTAAGGTTTTGAAGATTGTGTCCTCAAAAGTCATTGCTACACTCAACGTACCGGCAGGTACGGTAAACGAAAAAAGTCCAGAAAATGTAGTCCTGGCAACCGAGGAACCATTCACGTATATTGTACCGAGGCGTAATTTGACGCCAGTATTCAGCCCCGTCACCTGTCCCTGTATCGTAATATCAGTAGACGAACATTCTCCACATGAACATCCTGTGATGATGATAACCTTCAGGCTGTAGTCATTACAGTGGACCGTCCGTTCTTCCTCGGAAGAAGGAAGGCAGCAGAATTTTTTACCAGTTCCACATAGCCCCTCCACATTATTGTCACCACGGCATGTCTTTTTGGCGCATCCTCCAACTTCATACAGAGTTGTGCCATCAACCTGTACGCAATCGGAAGGAAGACTTATTTTTTTCTCCTCGTAAGCTTCCTCACAAAACGCAGACCGTGATGCTGTGAAATAAAGTAACAATATTTATACTGTAGCAGTTATTATTGAATACATTTACACGGAAACTATTGCAAAGTTAAATAGAAATCCTGTATGCATTATATTACAAAATAGAAGTACTTGTATAATGTTGGTATAATATATTACATAAATCTGCCACTCCAACAAACACATACTATGAAGGTTGACTTACATTTCACTGTGAGCAGAGCTGCAGAGGAGTACACAGCCCCAACAGGACTGTTGGCGCGACATTTGTACTGGCCACTATCGCTCGTGGTAACATCATTTAGTGTCAAGTTAAATCCATCCGGGTATTTTGAATCGTTAATTAATACTCCGTCCTTCATCCTTTGAAGTTACAAAATAGGATCAAAAATTAAATTAACATTAATGTAAGCAGTTCGTTGAAACATTGTTTTCCGAAATTGTGGGTAACCGTCAATAAAAGACAACTTTTATCAGCAAATACTGGTTTGAAAAAAAACCCACTAGAGCTTTAAACAGTTATTACTTTTGTGAAAAAAAATCAGCCTGTTCTATCAAATTACTAAGTTTGGCTCTGGGTATTTACAATATTACATATAGTTTGATAAATATATGTGCGTACCATTCGTAGTTAGAGATGGCGGGATTGCCGTAGGCTTCGCAGCAGAACGTCACATTTTCTCCCTGGACACGAACACGTGGTTTTGGATTCATACTTATGGCAGGGTACGCTGCAAGAATTATGAAAGGTGTTTTTTTATCATATGTTTAACATATCTCTCAATAACAAAGCACACGCATGATGACACCCACCATGTAAATCTTGGTCAATCCAAGTAATTAATGTCAAGTCCTTAAACGTTATAAGTTATAAAGCAACGGAACCAACGGGTAAACTAACGGGCATCAAACACATTCAGCTTCATACCGCACAAAGAAATAGAATACTTTTCAAGGAGATCGCTATGACGACCGTAAATCTTCCCCATAATTTTCATCGCACTACATCTTTCGAAATCCTCTGTTATAAGCTTGTCCGTCTGTTGACGATTTCTTGTACGAAAGTCATGATTCAGCTCTTCGAATATTGACTCAAATGCGATATGTAAACACCATAAGTAGGGAAGGCAGGGGTGATGCTATCCAGAAATGGAAAATTCACAATAGGATAATTTAAATCATCACGCTTTGTGACCTGTTTTTATAATGTCCTCGATAAATTCAACCTGGTATAAAGGTTAACCATGAGACGGCAAGCCTAGTTACCTTAGGCTGCCAATAGTATGTGGGAATATCTTACCTTCTTGGATTAGAACGCTCTCATAAATAGAGAGCGAAGTCGTGTACAGCGCGGACAAATCAAACTTTTTTTATAGAGGAACAGTTTTTGGAAGAGTGTGTTTAGTTTGGGGAAATGCTCTTTGGAGTTCTTTAAAATCCACATTCTACAAAATCCAATTCTTGAATAAACAATATTGGGTTTAAATATATGAAGGCGTCTGTGACCATTAGTGATTTATAGTGAATTCTCGACTGGAATTTAATGTAAAAAATAGGAACAAAAAAGGGAAAAAATGTACCTATGAGCGACATCTGAACCGTAACACTGCTTTCTGTAACGGCGACAGTGACGTCAGCGTAGCCAGCCCTGGTGATGATAAGTTCAACAGCATCACATGTCGTGACCAACACAAACCCACCAGTTTTATTGGTCGTTGCTAACGTCTTGTAAGGAACACTAGCGTGTGCGATTGTTGCCTCGTCAAGTGGAACGTTGACATGGTTACGTACGATTCCCTGTACAGTGTTAGAAGTACACTCACAAGCAGTACAATCAGCGTTCTAGACGGGAATCAAAACCAAACGATATTTCATGATGCAAGAAATCTAGAATTTAAAGTTTATTTCATTATGTAAGTGACTTGACTGATACTGTACAAAATATAAGTGATATGTTCACTAAACCTGTTGTAGCCAATGTGCTTTATTAAACATCGGAAATTAAAAAAAATGCTGACAACATGTTTCGTTCTCTTTAAAACGTAACTATATACTATAATTGATACAGGTGACACTGTTTCACTCTACAAGTGATAATCTACTATTCTCTATACCTTATAATGATATATTTGTATGAAATTCGTGTTACCTGGACAGTTCCACGTGCTACAAGTCTGGGACTGTGTCGATGTTCCCACACAGTCCAGGTCCAAAGACGAGGATTTCTGACAAACTCTTGTCCTTAACTGAGTACCTCCTCCACACGTGACGTCACAATCACCCCAACTTGACCAAGTGGTCCAAACACCGTACACTGTAGAGCAACAATGATATGGATAAAATAAGGCATGTTTGACATACAGTTTAGCGCAACAACATCTGTAGAAAAAGTATGTTTAATTTCAAAGTCTGCCGGGAACAACATTTCAACCAGTTTCGTTTGTATAGTAATGGTTGCATTTGAACAATATATATGCATTGGTATGTGAAAATATAGAGGGATAAGGTCATGGAGATACCTGGACAAGTGGTCACAGAACACGTCGTTGTCTGTACATATTCTCCCTGACAGACCGGGTCACTCGCAGATGTCCTAAAACATGTTCTATACCTTGTGTGGTACCCATTCCCACAAGTGGCTCCACAGGTTGTCCATGATCCCCAGTTGTTCCAGGTAGCAGGAGCTGCTGGTGGGTTTATCATATATAAATTTACAAATATGGGTATGGTGCTGTGTAAAAATGGTGTTCTGTGATATGGAATATTATTATGGATGAGAAGTCAACGACAAGATTCTAGATTATAGCTAAAATCACATCTAAAGAATGTTATTCACTGGTACTTGCATTTACTGAAATCTGAAATCTACTTAAAGTTTCCTCAATTTGAACTATAATGCATTCAGACAATTGTACGACTGAAAATATTAATTGAAAAGATACGTCATTATCTCATCTAAGATTCAATAATTAGTTATAACAAATACCAGTAAAACAAGTGTTATAATTGATGTGTGTTTGAGATGAAAGTGACCTTACTGCCTTCTCTTTCTCCTTTTCCACTAGATTTACCGATTGACTTAGTAAATGGATTGCTATTGACATAAGAGAAGAGCAGTTTAGAAGAAGCGTAGAGTCGATATACTGTATACAACCTGGGGTTAATTTTGTTGTTCCGGAAGTGACGTGGGCTGTTGTCTCTTCAGTGCCATGCATATCATGTGTAGGAGACACTGCAAATGTATATCAACGATAGACAAGGGAAGAAAGGCAAGTTTGTAGGATTATGAATATCAAAAAAGATCTACATGTTATCATAGAAACAAACACCAATAAGTGTAAGGAAACCTAAGAGTCAGGAATACTTATCAATTCACTGACTCGTTCGTAGACTGTTTCAATTAAGAAAAAAAATACCGGATTGATCTCAATATGACGTTATTAGTAAACTATCACATGGTACCACTGAATAACATAATAACATATTACGGACAGTGTGAAGACACTGTTTAGGGTAGAGAAAAATAGACACCACAGCAAATTGTCCAAGCTCTTTTTTTAAAATATTCCAGTAGCGCTTGATTATATTGCATAAAAGACACATGTGAATAGCACCAGTAAATATGATGATTTGAGACAATATGATGAAACGTTAGAGTATTACCTGGGGTTGTAGAAGTTCCTTCAGTTGTAATGGGTGAAGGTGTAATGTCTGAAAAAGTCGCACAGAAGATGCATAAATAATATATATATTAATGTTTGAATTATTATCCTGTTGGTGTCTTACTCTTTTGAATGATTTAGCCAGTAATTTGATTACATGCGTGACTGATTACACAGAGTGTGTCCTGTGTTTACCTTGATATTTATTTATAGTGTCCGTTTGAAAGTTGTTTTTTAGGAAGAGTAAGGCGTATACATTATAGTCAGTTTACTACTAAATGTCTCCCGTGTTAGTTTACCTGTGGTTGAGGGACTTGCTAGCACTGTAGTGGTTGATGTTGTTTTATCAAAACACAAAACGAACAGTTCATAAGTTAGACACAACGATACATACATGTTATGTCTACTTATGAGTGAATATCATAAATAGTGATCGATGCCTTACCCTTGTATTAACATATTTATAAGCAGTAATTTGATTAAATGCTGAACTGTTTACACAATAAAAATCACAAAATTAAATACAAATAGCACATCATTAAGAACTCGTCAAACATTAAACTTAAATAATCCTGTCGACATAGAAACAGTAAGACATTAACTTTACCATTAACCACTTAATATTGGAGAAAATAAACATGAGTATCAACAAACAGAAAATTGCCAGTGAATTTAATCCGTGTAATATAATAAATTTGGTAAGTAAAATAATATATAAATCATATTGCATTGATAAGATTTTGCAATACTGTTCAAGATGAAATTTGTAGCACTGAGCACGAAAGCACAGGATGTAAATAAGTATTAAAAAAATAATACAATTGTCTGTCAATACACTGAAAATACTCTCAGCATTGATAATTCCACCGACTCTGTGAAACAACTGAATGGAGGGTAACCTCTATTTATTTTGTTTAGTATTATTGAAAAGAAATTGTATCGGTATGATTTTCGTTTCTACAGATAAGTCTGGGTATCAATAAATAAAAGTATGGTTCATTTTCATGGGGTAACATATCTAAATAAATACTAGTTAACAAATACGCAAATGTTTAAATCGACAATATACACATTAAATGATCGGACATTACAGGTAGAAAATTATGATAAATACAACATCATCAATGGTATAAAATACAACAATAAATATAACAGATAATTTGTTTTATTTTAAACATTGTGCAAGAAACACACAAGTGCATATCACCTTAAAATACAAGTTTAGAATTTGACACAGTAGAGCCAAATAGTAAATTTAACTGCAACATAAATTGGTAAGTTGTTCTAGGACTCGGCAGTGATGTTAAGTGCCTACAGTTTTGACCATGGTGGATACAGAGAACAATGAAGATTGATAGAACGTCATGCAACATTTCTATGAGACATTTTATTCTCTTACCCCGGACAGAGATATCCACAGTTTTTACCGGTGTGAGATTTTTCTATCTCATCCTAGGGTTGAGACAATCTACATTCGCTCCTTGTACGTTCTCAACAATAATGTGACGTCACTATCTTGACCCGGAAGTGGAAGTTGACATGTAAATGACGTCATTGTAAAATAACGATTTAATAATATGTGTTGATTTTGTGTATATACTGAAGTCATCTCATCCATACTTTCACATTAAAATTGTTTTTTTTATAATTAATATTATGCCTTTTATGTTTTACTGTACCGTTTATGGGAATCTTATTTTGTGCGGGATATCACAATTAAGCGTGACGCGGTTGAGACGGCCTCGTCACTATATTCATACGATGTCTGCGAGTTTTTGTTTACAAACATTCTATTTCGTATTTAACAATCGGGGGGTGGGGGGACAGGGTAAGAGAAAAATAATCATCATCCCATTTGGGATGAGACAGGGGGATCTCAACCCTCGGGGGGGATTATTAAGCTGTCAAACACTCGGCGATTTAATAATCCCCTCTCGGGTGAAGATCCCCCTGTCTCACCCCGAAGGGGGTGACAGATTCTATTAATAACATCATTGAGATAACTCCTTAAAAAAGCGTTCAATGTCCTTAGCGAAACCATTCCACAACAAATACTTGTGTTTTTAGTATTTATATCTCTACTAACCCGAACAAAGGCATTAATGTATTATCATCCGTTTTTTACACAAATAACAGTAATCTGTTGCCCGACTACTCCTGGGTTTTTTTCTGTTTCTTACCAATTTTTTTCCATCGTTGAATTTTCTGACAACAAAGACAAATGAAATTAAATGTGCATTCTGAGAGCAACACGTACTCTCTGTTTTTAATAAACACGTATTTCAGATAGGATATAAAAACAAAACAAAAAACTTAAACGGTTGATTGAGTTAGCAATTGTTCAAAAGACAAGTGAATATCATATCTTGATATGGATTTCATTACACGACTTGCAGAGTTATCTACCTTTCGTATGTAAGTTTGCTGCTAGGTTGCCATTAAGTAAAGAAGAACACACCAGTTAATGGTTTAAGTAAGACAGTGAAGCACCAGTCTGTGATCGTTTAAGATCCAATCACACAATCTAAGGTTTTCCCATTCAGTGGATGCAGTAAATGTGTTCTTAGTCATTCTATTGCAATACAAGAAAAAAATCAGACATTTAAACAGAATCTTCATTTAAACTCGATATCGATGAAATAGGGCAGAATATGAATTATTATTATTAATATTATGACATTCTAAACGGCCTGTCAGAACATAAAAGGTCATTAGGGCCATCAACACAAAAGATTAAAATGATAAGTCATAGTCTATTAGTCTATTATATAGACCAACATTTTTCACGAACTTAATGATATTCACGAGAAACCATGTAAAGAGAGTCTATGGATAAAAAGAACTAGATATCCCGTTGGCGCATACAAACTCATACCGGCGGGTTTTAAGGCGTTGGTGTTTGTCGAAAAGTTCACTTTTTCTGATATAGAATAATTTTCTGAATCTGCAAAATGTAATCAGACAGTTTTAACTTTTAATATTACAGGAAGAATGATCTTGATAATTCACTGAGCTGATGAGTGGTGCTCTAAGTTCCAAGGTATCAGCGATGGTCTACGCAACCTCGAGTAAAGAATGTTTCTCCAGAGAAATAGATCAGGTCTGTTCTGTCTTGGATGTATGATTGACCTGGACACTTTACACCTATTGCTGTGCATGCGAGAGCCTTCCTTATGTTGTTCAGTGAGATGAACGTTTATCAGCCAACAAAAGAATGCTTTAAACGTTAGTATTAAGGGGAACAATACCAGCACACAAAAAATACCAATGAGCTTGTTGGGCAAATATCTGTTCAAGTTAACATAAAAATATGTCTTTTCACTATTGCAGACTTTAAAAAATGAAAGCGTATCAATAAAACCAAACATAGAATAAAATGACAAAGCATGATCATTTCGGATAATTTGAATTACTTTTAGATGTTGGTAACAGATTGAAAGGAAATATACGATAATTTTATTTATCTTTCAAAAGACATTGAACCATGAAATCAGTACTAGTACATGATACATTATTTGTTAACAAATTTGTTGATTGATGAAGAAACCATTTCTTATTTGTCTAACTCCTTTCTACAAACTGATTGACGTAGGAAACCATTTCTTATTTGTCTAACTCCTTTCTACAAACTGATTGACGTAGGAAACCATTTGTTATTTGTCTAACTCCTTTCTACAAACTGATTGACGTAGGAAACCATTTGTTATTTGTCTAACTCCTTTCTACAAACTGATTGACGTAGGAAACCATTTGTTATTTGTCTAACTCCTTTCTACAAACTGATTGATCGTCGTTATTTCACTAACTATGATGCTTGACTTCTGTCTTTTTCTCAGCGTGTTTTACCTGAACTGTAGGGCAATAGAAGTAATACGAATCGCTGTTCATGATGATAACGAAATCCTAAAAAAACAAGAGGTTCCTGGATATCATATCTGGAAACTTAAAAAAAATGACAATATATATCGAAGGTGAGGTTTATAACTAAATGGCTATGGAAATGGAAACGAAAGTTTATTTTTAAAAAAATCTTGAGACTGTTTGTACAAGAGTTTTCACAAGAAATGAAGTACTCAAATTGTTCATCGATAAATGAAAATCAATGGTTTTGAAAAATACACTCAGTCCTGACAGTCATGCAAGTAATCTGGTCTCTACAGTGATCTGAAAAGTTGGACTGTTCAATGTGCGTCTGTGATGACGCATTGTCTTGTTTTAATTAAAAAGATTTGATTTAGAGAACGCGACGTAATACACCCAATCATTACGTAGTGAGAATAACATTGTTATATACTTTACATTTCATCATGTTCAAATTCATTTTGCAGCCTTTTTTGATGATCAGTTTAGTTTTTATCCGAGTTTAAACAACGCTTGTTAACTTAGATACACGTAAACCTGAGAGCAGGGTCAACGGCAGCATTCATGCTGGGGTTGGTTTCATCTGACGGACTTTTGACGCCTTTCTTGCACATGTTCCGAGTTGTCTCCCTTGCCTTTTCCCAATCCACGGCACCATACATTAGTGTTTGCTCATATATGTAGATCCCATGTTCTTCTGTGTCGGGAATAAACCATTCAGGAGATACGGTTCCGATGTTGCTTGATCCAGTATTAATATCATGTGATTTGATTTCGCCTTCCCATGACACAGTACATAATCGTCCTACTGGGGTTATTGTTACTTTGGTATAATCGTGTTGACTTTGAGATCCAGTTGATGAAATAAGGTTTTTGAATAACGGAAACTTGCCACTGCATTTGTACTCTATACAAGCCCCACTGTTCTCCACATATTCCTGACGAATTCCCAAGACTGTATCTTCTATTCCGCTATTTGTGCCTGCCTTACTTCTGATTGAAAAGGAAAGATTTTCAGATGTGCCAGTTACTTCTATTTTTATCATACAGATTGTGAAATCAGACATTTCGAGAGTTTTTTTGTGTGGATACCACAACTTCGGTCCGATGTCATCTGTGTTTAAGGAACGTTCATAGGCTTCACTTGGATCGATATTCAAGAGAGTAAAATCGGCGAAGTTCGAAGTTGAACGTTGGTAGAAATTAAACACGTTTATTGACGTTAACGAACCATACTTCCTAAATGGACCATCACCAGATAGCAGGAATTTGGTTTTTACGCCAATGGGGTCCGTTGTTGTTTCATAAGTCAGACGGGAACGTGCAGACTGTGTTAGTCCACTAAGTCTGGAAATACCCGGCTCATATTCTTTCCCTCTTTTAAATACTTGGATATAACCCCACGCATCACTACGGCAAAACGTATATTGCAACCCATCACTGTTGCTCGAAGATTCCTTGACCGCTGTGACATATTCTGCGTTTCTGCCAGGATACTTTTCTCCAGGATACGTCATGTGCATCACTCGTACGGTGTAGCCGTTAACGGGAATATTGTTCCTATCCTTAACGGCGGTTCTTAAGTAGCATCTGGAGAACCCTCTATAACAGTCTAAATTTATTGCCTGGAATGCACTGACTTGAACTTTTCCTACGAGATAATTTTTCGCAGTTTGTCTCTTACGTCGTTTTGATGTCTCCACGACTGTGGGTCCAATCTCTTCCCATTGCCCGGTCACGGAGTTCAGTCCCCACAACTTCACATCGGTAACATTTCCAGAATATGTGCTCTCAACAAGTGCAGCGTCCAGCTTGATGGTAACGTTTCCAGCAATATTCACTTTGTTTCCAGATTCATCTGAAAAATCCATAACGATAACGCCAAATGTTTGAAGATCCTGTGTTTCACCCTCTGCATCGATGAATTCGAACGTGCCGGGAGCGGATGAAATACTACTCAGGTTTCTAGGATCAAACATGTTCATACTAGCTTTCACCACTCCGTTATAAGGGTTTCCCGACTCGTCCACGAATGAGTTCGATGGTAAGATCACCTCTGATACGGCCGGCATTCCGCTATAATTGCCCATCGAAATTGTGTTTTCAACATCTGTGGAAATGGTGATCGGAGGGGCAGCTTCCATCATTGTAATCTGCCGATAAACCGGTCCTTCCATAGAATCCGAAAATGTAATCAGTCGTGTAGTGGTCAGTAGGGTTTTGAAGATTGTGTCCTCAAAAGTCATTGCTACACTCAATGTACCGGCAGGTACGGTAAACGAAAAAAGTCCAGAAAATGTAGTCCTGGCAACCGAGGAACCATTCACGTATATTGTACCGAGGCGTAATTTGACGCCAGTATTCAGTCCCGTCACTTGTCCCTGTATCGTAATATCAGTAGACGAACATTCTCCACATGAACATCCTGTGATGATGATAACCTGCAGGCTGTAGTCATTACACCGGACAGTCCGTTCTTCCTCGGAAGAAGGAAGGCAGCAGAACTTTTTACTAGGTCCACAAAGCCCCTCCTCATTATTGTCACCACGGCATGTCTTTTTGGCGCATCCTCCAATTTCATACAGAGTTGTGCCATCAACCTGTACGCAATCGGAAGGAAGACTTATTTTTTTCTCCTCGTAAGCTTCCTCACAAAACACGGATCCTGACGCTGTGAAATAAAGTAACAATCTTTATACTGGAGCAGTTACTATCGAATTCATTTACACGAAGACTATTGCAAGTGTACAAGGAGAATCAAATTAAATCAGAAGAGTAAAAGTTTTCTTCTTTATCGAAACGGGAACAAGTTGTACAACAACGGAACCAACAGGGAAACTAATGAGAATGAAATAAGTCATGTTTCAATTAGCACGTTCGAATTATCCCAACATATACAAGTTACACTGTTATTAATTACGTCACATATGACTGACTATAAGTGTAATGCATTAATCAAGGAAATCATTAATTAAACAGAAATCCTGTATATATTTCATTTACAAATTAAAAGTACTTGCATCATGTTGGCATCACCTGATCCTGCCACTCCATCAAAAACATACCACGAAGGTTGACTTACATTTGACAGTGAGCAGAGCTGCAGAGGAGTACACAGCCCCAACAGGACTGTTGGCGCGACATTTGTACTGGCCACTATCGCTCGTGGTAACGTCATTTAGTGTCAAGTTAAATCCATCCGGGTATTTTGAATCGTTAATTAATACTCCGTCCTTCATCCTTTAACGTTACAAAATTGGATCAAAAATTAAATTCACATCAAAGAAGTAGCTCGTTGAAACATTTTTTTACGAAATTGTGCGTGATCGTCAATAAAGACAACTTTTATCAGCATATACTGATCTTACCGTCAAGAGTTTCGAAAAAAAGAACACTAGAATTTTAAACAGTTATTACTTTTGTGAAATTGATTTTATATAATTCAGGCTAGTCCATCAAATTACCAAGTATGGCTCTGGGTATTTACAACATTACATATAGTTTAATAAATATATGTGCGTACCATTCGTAGTTAGAGATGGAGGGATTGCCGTAGGCTTCGCAGCAGAACGTCACATTTTCACCCTTGACACGAACACGAGGTTTTGGATTCATACTAATGGCAGGGTAAGCTGCAAGAAATATGAAAGGTGTTTTTTTATTCACATGTTTAACATATTTCTCAATAAAAAAAGGCACACGCGAATAAAACCAGATGTCCGGAAGAGTAAACGTCTTCTACTTCATCGATGTCACCCACCATGTAAATAAAACTAACGGCCATCAAACACATTCAGCTTCATATCGCACAAACAAATAGAATAATTCTCCATGAAATCGCTATGACGACCGTAAATCTTCCCCATAATTTTCATCAACCTGCATCTTTCGAAATCCTGCGTTACAAGTTTGTCCGTTGACGATTTCTTGTACGGAAACGTGATACAGCCTCTCGAGTATTGACTCAAATGCGATATGTAAATACCATATGTAGAGGATGCAGGTGTGATGCTCTCAAGAAATGGAAAATTCACTATAGGGTAATTTAAATTATCACGCTTTTGTGACCTGTTTGATAATTTTCTAGATAAATTCATCCTGGTATAAAGGTTAGCCAATAGACGGCATGCTTAGTTCCCTTAGGTTGCCAATAGTCTGTTGGAAGATTTTACTTTTTTGGAGTAGAAAGCTCTCATAACTAGAGAGCGAAGTCGTGTACAGCGCGGACAAATCATGTGTTATATAGAGGAAATGTTTTTAGAAGAGAGTGTTTAGTTTGGTCAAATGTTCTTTGGAGTTCTTTAAAATCCACATACTATATACAAGATCCAGTTTTTTAATAAACAATATTAGGTTTAAATATATGAGGGTGTCTGTGACCATAAGTGAATTACAGTATATTCTCGACTGGAATTTAATGTAAAAAACAAGAACAAATAAAGGGGAAAATGTACCTATGAGCGACATCTGAACCGTAACACTGCTTTCTGTAACGGCGACAGTGACGTCAGCGTAGCCAGCCCTGGTGATGATAAGTTCAACAGCATCACATGTCGTGACCAACACAAACCCACCAGTTTTATTGCTCGTTGCTAACGTCTTGTAAGGAACACTAGCGTGTGCGATTGTTGCCTCGTCAAGTGGAACGTTGACATGGTTACGCACGATTCCCTGTACAGTGTTAGAAGTACACTCACAAGCAGTACAATCAGCGTTCAGCGCACCAATCGGACAAGTCTGGGAACAGTCTAGACGGGAATCAAAACCAAACGATATTTCGTGATTCAAGAAATCTAGAATCTAAAGTTTACCTCATTATGTAAGTGACTTGACTGATATTGTACACAATATAAGTGATATGTTCACTTAACCTGTTGTAGCCAATGTGCTTTATCACACATCGGAAATTTTAAAAAATGCTGACAACATGTTTCGTTCTCTTTAAAACGTAACTATATACTATAATTGATACAGGTGACACTGTTTCACTCTACAATTGATAATCTACTTTTCTCTATACCTTATAATGATATGTTTGTATGAAATTTGTGTTACCTGGACAGTTCCAAGTGCTACAAGTCTGGGACTGTGTCGAAGTTCCCACACAGTTCAGGTCCGAAGACGAGGATTTCTGACAAACTCTTGTCCTTAACTGGGTACCACCTCCACACGTAACGTCACATTCACACCAACCTGACCAAGTGGTCCAAACACCGTACACTGTAGATCAACAATACTATTGATAAGATAAGGTAACAACAGCGAAATTATCAGGTATACTCACGATGATTATAACTAACGTCACCATAATTTTCATCGACTTCCATGTAGCCGTGTTGTGACCTTGAGAACAACCCCTTCAACATGCGACATGGAAGCACTAAAGGTAGGGGAAGGAAGGTAGTTATTCCTTAGAAAGTAAAACTTCACCGCTGTTACGGGTTAATCGAATTATCATGTTTGACACGCAGTTTAGCGTAACAACAGCTGTAGAAAAAGTATGTTTTATTTCAAATTCTACCGAGAACAACACCTAAACCAGTTCTTTTGTATAGTATTGGTTACAATTGAACACTATATATGAATTGGTATGTGAAAAGATAGAGAGATAAGGTCATGGGGTTACCTGGACAAGTGGTCACAGAACACGTCGTTGTCTGTACATATTCTCCCTGACAGACCGGGTCATTCGCAGATGTCCTAAAACATGTCCTATACCTTGTGTGGTACCCATTCCCACACGTGGCTCCACAGGTAGTCCAAGATCCCCAGTTGTTCCAGGTACCGGGAGTTGCTGTTGGGTTTGATATATATAAATATACAAATATGGGTATGTTATTCACTGGTGTTTGCAATTCTACTGAAATATATCGAAAGTTTCCACAATTTGAACTATAATGCTTTCTGACAACTGTACTTTAGAAAATCTAAATTGAAATGATAAGTTATTATCACATTTAAGATCCTACAATGAGCAAAACAAGTGTTATAATTGATATATGTTTGAGATGAAAATGACCTTACTGCCTTCTCTTTCTCCTTTTCCACTAGATTGACCTTCTAAATGGATTGTTATTGACATAAGAGAAGAGCAGTTTAGAAGAAGCGTAGAGTCGATTTTATTATACTGTATACAACCTGGGGTTAAACTTGTTGTCCCAGAAGTGACGCGGGCTGTTGTCTCTTCAGTGCCATGCATATCATGTGTAGGAGACACTGCAAATGTATATCAACGATAGACAAGGGAAGAAAGGCAAGTTTGTAGGATTACGAATATCAAAAATGATCTACATGTTATCATGGAAACAAACACCAATAAGTGTAGGGAAACCTAAGAATCGGGAATACTTATCAATTCACTGACTCGTTCGTAGACTGTCTCAACTTAAAAAAATGCTGGATTGATCTTAATATGACGTGATTATTAAACTATAACATGGTACCACTGAATGACATAAAAATATAATACGGACAGTGTGAAGACACTGTTTAGGGAAGAGCTACTCATCTGGATAGAGAAAAATAGATGCCACAGCAAATTATGTCAGCTCTTTTTTTGTTTAAAGATTGCAGTAGTGCTTGATAATATTGCATAAAAGACACATGTGAATAGCACCAGTAAATATGATGATTTGAGACAATATGATGAAACGTTAGAGTATTACCTGGGGTTGTAGAAGTTCCTTCAGTTGTAAAGGTTGAAGGTGTAATGTCTGAAAAAGTCGCACAGAAGATGCATAAATACTATATATATTAATGTTTTAATTATTATCCTGTTGGTGTCTTACTCTTTTGAATGATTTCACCAGTAATTTGATTACATGCGTGACTGATTACAGCGTGTGTCCTGTGTTTACCTTGATATTTATTTATAGTGTCCGTTTGAAAGTTGTTTTTTAGGAAGAGTAAGGCGTATACATTATAGTCAGTTTACTACTAAATGTCTCCCGTGTTAGTTTACCTGTGGTTGAGGGACTTGCTAGCACTTTAGTGGTTGATGTTGTTTTATCTAAAAATGAATAGTTCATAGGTTAGGCACAACGATACATACATGTTATGTCTACTTATGAGTGAACATCATAGATAGTGTCGGTGCTAAATTCTTGAATTAACATCGTGAGGTTTCATAAGTAGTAATTTGATTATATGCTGAACTGTTTACAGTGAGTGTCCTGTGTGTCTATTTGTAGTGTCCGCTCGAATGATGTTGTTTACGGAAGACTACAATTAAAGTCAGTTTCATATTGAATTTTCCCCGACTTAATTCAAAATTCTACTTGTGGTTCAGTGATACGAGATAAAATGAAAAAGTAATGTAAAATAATAACAAAATAATAGAAAATGGGGGAGGGGTGGGAAGAGGGGGAAAGACTAAAAATAAGCAAGCAAAAAAGTATCTGATTAACGCTAGATTACTTACAAATATACAACAAAATACAGCAAAAACACAAATAATATAGACATCTGAGACACAATATCAACAACACAATAAAATACAAATAGCTGGTAATTATGAACTCGTCAAACATTAAACTTAAATTATCCTGTCGATGAAGAAATTAAGAAATAGTATAGACAATAACTTTAACATTAACCTCTTAATATTATTATTGGAGAAAAGAAACAGGCCAGTAGCAAAAGACAGAATAATTACTAGTGAAATTAACCTGTGTTATATAGTAAATTTGGTAAGTCAAACAATATATACATCATCTTGCATTGATCAGATTTTGAAATAATCTTCAAGATGAAGTATGTAGCACTGAACACGGAAACACAGTATGTAAATAACTGTGTAAAATAATACCATTGTTTATGGGCTCAAGTTGGGTTTAATATATATAAATATACAAAAATTGGTATGGTGCTGTGCAAAATGGAGTTCTGTGTTATGAAAATCGAATAACAAGTCAACGACAAGATTCTAGATTATATGCATCAATCACACATGAAAAATGTTATTCGCTGGTGTTTGCAGTTCTACTGAAATCTATTTAAAGTTTCCTCAATTTGAACTATAATGCTTTCTGACAACTGTACTTTAGAAAATCTAAACTTGAAAAGATAGGTTATTATCACATTTAAGATCCTACAATGAGTTGTAACAACTATCAATAAAACAAGTGTTATAATTGATATATGTTTGAGATGAAAATGACTTTACTGCCTTCTCTTTCTCCTTTTCCACTAGATTTACAGATTGACCTTCTAAATGGATTGTTATTGACATAAGAGAAGAGCAGTTTAGAAGAAGCGTAGAGTCGATTTTATTATACTGTATACAACCTGGGGTTAAACTTGTTGTCTCAGAAGTGACGCGGGCTGTTGTCTCTTCAGTGCCATGCATATCATGTGTAGGAGACACTGCAAATGTATATCAACGATAGACAAGGGAAGAAAGGCAAGTTTGTAGGATTACGAATATCAAAAATGATCTACATGTTATCATAGAAACAAACACCAATAAGTGTAGGGAGACCTAAGAATCAGGAATACTTATCAATTCACTGACTCGATCGTAGACTGTCTCAACTTAAAAAAATGCTGGATATGACGTGATTATTAAACTATAACATGGTACCACTGAATGACATAAAAATATAATACGGACAGTGTGAAGACACTGTTTAGGGAAGAGCTACTCATCTGGATAGAGAAAAATAGATGCCACAGCAAATTATGTCAGCTCTTTTTTTGTTTAAAGATAGCAGTAGTGCTTGATAATATTTCATAAAAGACACATGTGAATAGCACCAGTAAATATGATGATTTGAGACAATATGATGAAACGTTAGAGTATTACCTGGGGTTGTAGAAGTTCCTTCAGTTGTAAAGGTTGAAGGTGTAATGTCTGAAAAAGTCGCACAGAAGATGCATAAATACTATATATATTAATGTTTTAATTATTATCCTGTTGGTGTCTTACTCTTTTGAATGATTTCACCAGTAATTTGATTACATGCGTGACTGATTACAGCCTGTGTCCTATGTTTACCTTGATATTTATTTATAGTGTCCGTTTGAAAGTTGTTTTTTAGGAAGAGTAAAGCGTATACATTATAGTCAGTTTACTACTAAATGTCTCCCGTGTTAGTTTACCTGTGGTTGAGGGACTTGCTAGCACTTTAGTGGTTGATGTTGTTTTATCTAAAAATGAATAGTTCATAGGTTAGGCACAACGATACATACATGTTATGTCTACTTATGAGTGAACATCATAGATAGTGTCGGTGCTAAATTCTTGAATTAACATCGTGAGGTTTCATAAGTAGTAATTTGATTATATGCTGAACTGTTTACAGTGAGTGTCCTGTGTGTCTATTTGTAGTGTCCGCTCGAATGATGTTGTTTACGGAAGACTACAATTAAAGTCAGTTTCATATTGAATTTTCCCCGACTTAATTCAAAATTCTACTTGTGGTTCAGTGATACGAGATAAAATGAAAAAGTAATGTAAAATAATAACAAAATAATAGAAAATGGGGGAGGGGTGGGAAGAGGGGGGAAAGACTAAAAATAAGCAAGCAAAAAAGTATCTGATTAACGCTAGATTACTTACAAATATACAACAAAATACAGCAAAAACACAAATAATATAGACATCTGAGACACAATATCAACAACACAATAAAATACAAATAGCTGGTAATTATGAACTCGTCAAACATTAAACTTAAATTATCCTGTCGATGAAGAAATTAAGAAATAGTATAGACAATAACTTTAACATTAACCTCTTAATATTATTATTTGAGAAAAGAAACAGGCCAGTAGCAAAAGACAGAATAATTACTAGTGAAATTAACCTGTGTGATATAGTAAATTTGGTAAGTCAAACAATATATACATCATCTTGCATTGATCAGATTTTGAAATAATCTTCAAGATGAAGTATGTAGCACTGAACACGGAAACACAGTATGTAAATAACTGTGTAAAATAATACCATTGTTTGTGGGCTCAAGTTGGGTTTAATATATATAAATATACAAAAATTGGTATGGTGCTGTGCAAAATGGAGTTCTGTGTTATGAAAATCGAATAACAAGTCAACGACAAGATTCTAGATTATATGCATCAATCACACATGAAAAATGTTATTCGCTGGTGTTTGCAGTTCTACTGAAATCTATTTAAAGTTTCCTCAAATTGAACTATAATGCTTTCTGACAACTGTACTTTAGAAAATCTAAACTTGAAAAGATAAGTTATTATCACATTTAAGATCCTACAATGAGTTGTAACAACTATCAATAAAACAAGTGTTATAATTGATATATGTTTGAGATGAAAATGACCTTACTGCCTTCTCTTTCTCCTTTTCCACTAGATTTACAGATTGACCTTCTAAATGGATTGTTATTGACATAAGAGAAGAGCAGTTTAGAAGAAGCGTAGAGTCGATTTTATTATACTGTATACAACCTGGGGTTAAACTTGTTGTCTTAGAAGTGACGCGGGCTGTTGTCTCTTCAGTGCCATGCATATCATGTGTAGGAGACACTGCAAATGTATATCAACGATAGACAAGGGAAGAAAGGCAAGTTTGTAGGATTACGAATATCAAAAATGATCTACATGTTATCATAGAAACAAACACCAATAAGTGTAGGGAGACCTAAGAATCAGGAATACTTATCAATTCACTGACTCGATCGTAGACTGTCTCAACTTAAAAAAATGCTGGATATGACGTGATTATTAAACTATAACATGGTACCACTGAATGACATAAAAATATAATACGGACAGTGTGAAGACATTGTTTAGGGAAGAGCTACTCATCTGGATAGAGAAAAATAGATGCCACAGCAAATTATGTCAGCTCTTTTTTTGTTTAAAGATTGCAGTAGTGCTTGATAATATTGCATAAAAGACCCATGTGAATAGCACCAGTAAATATGATGATTTGAGACAATATGATGAAACGTTAGAGTATTACCTGGGGTTGTAGAAGTTCCTTCAGTTGTAATGGTTGAAGGTGTAATGTCTGAAAAAGTCGCACAGAAGATGTATAAATACTATATATATTAATGTTTTAATTATTATCCTGTTGGTGTCTTACTCTTTTGAATGATTTCACCAGTAATTTGATTACATGCGTGACTGATTACAGCGTGTGTCCTGTGTTTACCTTGATATTTATTTATAGTGTCCGTTTGAAAGTTATTTTTTAGGAAGAGTAAAGCGTATACATTATAGTCAGTTTACTACTAAATGTCTCCCGTGTTAGTTTACCTGTGGTTGAGGGACTTGCTAGCACTTTAGTGGTTGATGTTGTTTTATCTAAAAATTAATAGTTCACAAGTTAGGCACAACGATACATACATGTTATGTCTACTTATGAGTGAACATCATAGATAGTGTCGGTGCTTAATTCTTGTATTAACATCGTGAGGTTTCATAAGTAGTAATTTGATTATATGCTGAACTGTTTACAGTGAGTGTCCTGTGTGTCTATTTGCAGTGTCCGCTCGAATGATGTTGTCTACGGAAGACTACAATTAAAGTCAGTTTCATATTGAATTTTCCCCGACTTAATTCAAAATTCTACTTGTGGTTCAGTGATACGAGATAAAATGAAAAAGGAATGTAAAATAAGAACAAAATAATAGAAAATGGGGGAGGGGTGGGAAGAGGGGGGAAAGACTAAAAATAAGCAAACAAAAAAGTATCTGATTAACGCTAGATTACTTACAAATATACAACAAAATACAGCAAAAACACAAATAATATAGACATCTGAGACACAATATCAACAACACAATAAAATACAAATAGCTGGTGATTATGAACTCGTCAAACATTAAACTTAAATTATCCTGTCGATGAAGAAATTAAGAAATAGTATAGACAATAACTTTAACATTAACCTCTTAATATTATTATTGGAGAAAAGAAACAGGCCAGTAGCAAAAGACAGAATAATTACTAGTGAATTTAACCTGTGTTATATAGTAAATTTGGTAAGTCAAACAATATATACATCATCTTGCATTGATCAGATTTTGAAATAATCTTCAAGATGAAGTATGTAGCACTGAACACGGAAACACAGTATGTAAATAACTGTGTAAAATAATACCATTGTTTGTGGGCTCAAGTTGGGTTTAATATATATAAATATACAAAAATTGGTATGGTGCTGTGCAAAATGGAGTTCTGTGTTATGGAAATCGAATAACAAGTCAACGACAAGATTCTAGATTATATGCATCAATCACACATGAAAAATGTTATTCGCTGGTGTTTGCAGTTCTACTGAAATCTATTTAAAGTTTCCTCAATTTGAACTATAATGCTTTCTGACAACTGTACTTTAGAAAATCTAAACTTGAAAAGATAGGTTATTATCACATTTAAGATCCTACAATGAGTTGTAACAACTATCAATAAAACAAGTGTTATAATTGATATATGTTTGAGATGAAAATGACTTTACTGCCTTCTCTTTCTCCTTTTCCACTAGATTTACAGATTGACCTTCTAAATGGATTGTTATTGACATAAGAGAAGAGCAGTTTAGAAGAAGCGTAGAGTCGATTTTATTATACTGTATACAACCTGGGGTTAAACTTGTTGTCTCAGAAGTGACGCGGGCTGTTGTCTCTTCAGTGCCATGCATATCATGTGTAGGAGACACTGCAAATGTATATCAACGATAGACAAGGGAAGAAAGGCAAGTTTGTAGGATTACGAATATCAAAAATGATCTACATGTTATCATAGAAACAAACACCAATAAGTGTAGGGAGACCTAAGAATCAGGAATACTTATCAATTCACTGACTCGATCGTAGACTGTCTCAACTTAAAAAAATGCTGGATATGACGTGATTATTAAACTATAACATGGTACCACTGAATGACATAAAAATATAATACGGACAGTGTGAAGACACTGTTTAGGGAAGAGCTACTCATCTGGATAGAGAAAAATAGATGCCACAGCAAATTATGTCAGCTCTTTTTTTGTTTAAAGATAGCAGTAGTGCTTGATAATATTTCATAAAAGACACATATGAATAGCACCAGTAAATATGATGATTTGAGACAATATGATGAAACGTTAGAGTATTACCTGGGGTTGTAGAAGTTCCTTCAGTTGTAAAGGTTGAAGGTGTAATGTCTGAAAAAGTCGCACAGAAGATGTATAAATACTATATATATTAATGTTTTAATTATTATCCTGTTGGTGTCTTACTCTTTTGAATGATTTCACCAGTAATTTGATTACATGCGTGACTGATTACAGCGTGTGTCCTATGTTTACCTTGATATTTATTTATAGTGTCCGTTTGAAAGTTGTTTTTTAGGAAGAGTAAAGCGTATACATTATAGTCAGTTTACTACTAAATGTCTCCCGTGTTAGTTTACCTGTGGTTGAGGGACTTGCTAGCACTTTAGTGGTTGATGTTGTTTTATCTAAAAATGAATAGTTCATAAGTTAGGCACAACAATACATAGATGTTTTGTCTACTTATGAGTGAACATCATAGATAGTGGTCGGTGCCTAACTCTTGTATTAACATCGTGAGGTTTCATAAGTAGTAATTTATTTTGATGCTGAACTGTTTACAGTGAGTGTCATGTGTTGTTTACGGAAGACTTCAATTTAGGTCAGTTTCCTATTGAATTAAATTGAATTATAAGAACTCGTCAAACATTACACATAAATTATGCTGTCGATGAAGAAATTAAGAAATAGTATTGAGACTGATTTTACCATTAACCTCTTAATATTATTATTGAATACTGTTACTGTTCAGGATGAAGTATGTAGCACTGAACACGAAATAACAGGATGCAAATATCCATGTAAAAATAATACCGTTGTCTTTCAATACACTTAAAACATTATCAACATTGATTATTCCACCGACTCTGTCAAGCAACGCAATGGAGGGAACAATCTACTTATTTAGTTTAGTATTATTTAAAAGAAAATGTATTGGTATGATTTTCGTTTTTGCTGTAACAAATAAATATCAATAGATAATGAGATGGTTCATGTTCATGGGGAACATATCTAAATAAATCCTAGTTAACAAATACGCAACTGTTCAAAACGACAATGTACAGATTAAATGACCGGCAATAACATTTAGCAAATTATGCAAAATACAACATCATCATTGGTATAAAATACAGCAATAAATATCACAGATAATTTGCTTTATTTTAAACATTGTGCAAGAAACACACAAGTGCATATCACCTTAAAACACAAATTTAGAATTAGACACAGTAGAACCTAATAGTGAATTTGACTGCATCATAAGATGGTAAGATCTTCTAGGACTCGACAGTGGTGTTAAGTGCCTAAAGTTTGAACCATGAGGGATACAGATATCAATGACGATTGATAAAACGTCATGCAACATTTCTATGAGACATTTTAATAATATCATTAAGATCACGCCTTAAAACAACGTTCAATGTCCTAAGCGAAACCAATCCAGAACAAACACTTGTGTTTTTAGTACTGATATCTTTTCTAACCCGAACAAACTAAGTTTTGCATTAATGTATTGTCATCCGTATTTTATACAAATAACAGCAATCTGTTGACTGACTACTTCTGTTTTTTTTCTGTTCCAAATATATTGCATCGTTGAAGAACAAGAATAATGTTATTCCTGAATTTTTTGACATAAATGACAAATGAAATTAAATGTGCTATCTGAGGGCAACATGTTATTTTCTGTTTTTAATGTATATCTTCAAAAATTGCCAAATAAACACGTTTTTCAGATATGATTTATAAACAAAAAAATGTTTAAAAGACAAACAAATCCAAAGAGACGGTACGAAATACAGGAATATTGATGGTAAGGTATGCCAGCCATACATGGTTTACATAAATCTGATAATTTCTTCAATGAAAGAACCACAGCACGAACAATATTTTCTATGTCAATCGATTACTGAACGACGTGAACACGACTTCTAAATAAATATGGACCATACCATCGCTATAAAATGACATCATATTCTTCTCCATGTTTCTATAACTCCTATAATTTCAATATTTAGTAATTGGTTAGGCATTTTATATAAATCATAAAATATCTTATATGTGTACAGTATTTGAATTACTCATTGACGACGTACGACCTGTCATACATAACTTTTCTTGTAGGGAATTTGTTGATAAATTAACCTTATACAGACATAATTTCAAACACAACAAACACGTGTAACATACCCATTCCACGTGGTGGCGGATTATTTTTGTTCGCTGTCTCCGGGTCCTGTCCGATAATCACTAATGCCACTGGTATTGCTGCAATCAGGCCAATCACCATGACAATCGCAGCGACGATAAGACATATTTTTAAAGGATGAGGAGAAGACACTGGTTCTACGGCGATAATCTCTAACTTTTCTGAAGGCTCTCTTTGTACATCAACGGAAGTCTTACCGGCACTTAAACGCCGGTACTTCCCGTAGGAAAGCGTATCCATCGCTAACGATTGGTCTCTATGTTCAATTTTATACCACATTTCCTTTCTTTGTTGACTGTCATACAAATGCACTGTAATAATTAATCAAGCAGCTAAATTAATTCACATTACATCTTAAGCGTCTAAAGCAGTTCTAAATATTTAAAAACGTGACAGTCTTATATAGACTACGAAATTTGTAAAGACAGGGGGTTGGGTCTAACATGTAAATTCCGACCAGGAAGAAACTATGAAGTTCGTACATACTCAAACTTATACACTGTTCTGATAGACTCTGATATGAGGATACTGAAGCACTAAATTCCCATTGAGATGTATTGTTTTACATTAATTTATGATATCAACAAGGAAGTCATATGCACGTTTGTAACTCAACTGCGATATTTGTAAAGTACATTGATACAATCATAATTTTTAAATCAATTGTGACTTTTACCATGTACATGGATACTAAAATTTATAAAAAAAAATAAGGACTGTACAAAAGACATACAAGTGAATAGCACTTTCTAATACAAATATATGTTAGATACAGTAAATCCACATAATGAATTTAACTGCATCATATAACTATTTCTGCCTTCTCGGACTCGTCAGTGATGCTATATCATACAACTGTTTCGTCCTTCTAGGACTCGTCAGTGATACTATATCATACAACTGTTTAAGTCCTTCTAGGACTTGTCAGTGATTCTATATCATACAGCTCTTTCGTTCTTCTAGGACTCGTCTGTAATGCTAAGGCCCTTAATTTTGAAGTCTGAGAGGCGACTAATGAAAATCCAACATGATCGAAAGAAGGGGCTGCAGACTGCTAATTAACTTCACTTCGTAATTTTCATGTATCAGATAAAGGGCCGGTTTCCAAAACGGCCCCTTCTCTGATTCAAATTTCCTGTTGGTGGTGCATTGCCCATGCCGTTATGGTCACAAATCTATAAAGTATAAAGATTTAGGTCACTTGGTTTGTTTTTTTATGGCTCCTCAAAGTTGTACCTTTCAGAAGCTAAGTGTTGATAAAATGTGCACGTTATGTCAAATATAAATGAAAATCTAATCAAATGATGGTCACCGTAAAGAATACATTCATGGCATAATTGTGACAAAAAATCATGTTTCCATCGCGCCATTTGGCTGTTTTATGGAAGAAACAATCTCAAAAATGCCATTTTCGACGATAACATTTTAGACACAAAAACTGTGTTTTTTAGAGAATACACCCTTTTATAACCAATTTTTATCCTATTAGATAGTACGTAATATGCTATTGATGAGAGGAAAAATCATCAAAATGTAAGTGGTGGAACATTTTCAAATGTTGGGTTGAATTAGCCTATGGTTGAATTGCCGATTTTTGACTTTCTTTAGATAATTAACAAAAAACGAGAGTATTTGCTCGGTATCTTGAAAATATGTACACAGATATGAAAAAAAGTGAAAGAAACACTTTTTCATAAAAAAAAATCCAAGATGGCTACTTCACAAGTCCCCGTGGTTGAAGACATTGGCTGACAAATAGACAGAACAACAAACAAAACGTGTTCCTTATGATTTTGGTTGGTTTTCGCATTTACGGGCGATTGTATAATACCTGTATTTATAAGTTTGCTTAGTCACATGGTAACGGGGATCTTTCATATCGAGCCCCAAACATACTTTCGACATATGCACTCCGTTGCCGCATGGAAAACTATTTCAAGTTTTGTCGGAATTTCTTTACCTGTGGTTGTAATGGTCGAGGGTTTTCCAGCGTCCTGTAATACCCAAGGTAGTACAAGATACTGGAGATGTGCGCACACATTCCCATCGTTCTCTCTCCAACTGGGCACTGGCAGTAGTAGTCCTTTATTGGGGCCTCAACATCGGGTGAAACGGTGAACCGCATCCAAACGTTATATTTCGTTTGGCTTTTGTGTCGAGAATGTATTTGACATCGGAGAAGGTCTGGGGAGTGCTGGTAAAGCCACACCTCAGTCTCCGTCATCACTTAAATGTTCGGCGATGTAACCAGGAGCCAGAGATATCTGATACGTTCCACACGTAATGGTTCTCAAGTAATCAAGATCGAGACGGGGAAACAGTACGGAAGATGCATCCATCTTGACAAACTCGGACCTTGCCCGTCTAGATAGATCCGGATCTATCTTGCCTCTCTGAGCTAAACCATTCGGTGTTGTCAAACGGTCCTTCATACGTTCAGCCATTAGCCTATCTTTGGCATCTGTCTCTGGAGATCTCTGGTAGATCGGTCCTCTAATACCATTCAGACAGGCTGTGACGGTTCGAAGCAAAGCCTCAATGACATTGATAAAGCTGTTAGACACCAATTGCGTTCGGAAGAACGTCCAGTATTTCAGACGACCATGATAGGATTCCACAATCCACCTCGATTTGGTGATAGTTCTGTCAAGATTTGCTTGGACGTCAGAATGTTGACTTTGACGGGGTTTCAGGTATGACGGCATGCTAACATTGAGGCCAGAGGCTTCGACAACTGATAGGACATCTCTAAAAACTCGGTCAACGACAACGTTGTTGTCTGGTTGTAGCCAAGTTACTAGCTTGTCCATGACTTTTGTTGTAATTGTAGCATCATTTTCGCTGCCAGTGAATGGTCCTACGGTGTCCAGAATGTAGCCATCTGGTAAGGCGATGCTCATGAATTTGACATAGTTTCTCTTCTTCTGGCCACAGTGGGACATTCTCTGGAGCTTGTGGTCGGAGCTTTTCTGGATATAAATATAGGTGCCATCTAATATGGCAGTGGCTTTATCTCCAAAAAATGCTTCTGAAAAGACAGTATTGTGCCCGAGCAATTGTTCTCTTGTCAAGTGATCCGGACCTAGAAATTGTGGGACTATCGATGTGTCTAATGCCTGTACTATGGAGTGGAAAGTTGTGGACACACTTGACTTGGAAATTCCAAAAAGAGAAGAACACTGACTCCAGAAAATGTCGGTTTTCAGTTTTACCCAGATCAGTAATAAAGCATCGTGTGTAGTCTTGGTATATATACCAGATGATAGATATGGGGAACAGTGCGAGTGGATTTCGAGGAACTGATCTTTGGACCAACCTGTCCAGGCCATGCATGCCGAGTCATCAAGAGAGGAAAAGCTTATTGTAAACGCAGACTGGTTCTGTGAAAGGACGTGCGACACCTCTAGGAGGTCATTAATGATTTCGGACGATTTTAATGGTAACTGAGATTCCAAGGAACCTCTACCATCAAGGACAACCTCTGTAGACGGATCTAAGTCGTTACCAATAAGGTGAATGGAGCAGACGCGGGATGAGGTGGGACACCACAGTTTGTGTGAATAGATCAGGTGATGTCTTGCACGTTTTGGTAAGACTGATGATTTTGTTCCATTTTTTGGAAAGGTAACAAGACAGAGACAGCATTTTTTGTGTGAAGATGATCCATTCAAAAGATCATGAAGGGTCAGCAACGGCAGGATATGGGACGGGGAGTCGTCTTCTTCCTCGATTTCCTGGTTCTGCTCGGGTTCAGGTTCAGGCTGATTTTTGTTCCGAAGATACTTCATGTAGCACTTTTGGCAAATAAATGCTTGTTCTTTGCTGACATCAATCCTTGTTGCACCAGCGTATCTAGGAGCCATTTATATTGTGGACTATTTACATTTCGTGCACTTCTGTTCTTATTGCCACTACGTTTCTTGAAGTATACTTGACACTCTTCTCGAACACATTTACTCTCCATCTTGAAACAATAACGATTGGTTTATGAAGCGTCGATAAAGTAACAAAATAGCAAGCCACCGATGATTGCTGTAAACATCTAATACTTAGTAGTTTGGTACAATTATGCGAAAATGTGTGATAAATAACGAACAACTAATTACACAAAATAACAGGACAATATAATAAATCACATTCAATACCTTCAAGAAGCGCAGAATTGATTGATTACTTAGAACAAAATAAAGTATTTCATATGGATAATATATCTATTCGATGTGGCGTGGTCGGCAGGCACAAAGAAAGTGAGACAAGTCAGGGTCCCAACCCTGACAGAGCCACAACGCTTTGGAGATGGGACAATAAAATAAGGAAATTGAGACAAGAATAGCTAGCGTCGAGTGAATGATTTCGTAAACGTATAGACAAAGACAAGAAGATACGGATAAATGTACAAGGCCCCACGATCAGAAAATTCAGAAGAGGGCAGCTTGAGATAGAACAGTATTCATGTATCAGGGTGTCCTCAGCGTAAATCTTTATATCGATACTATTTATTTAGTCGTTACACATCATAAAACTGTCATGAAAATATCCGCTCTGATATTCAATATAACTTTCCCCTTTTCTTTCAATTTACAACCACATTCAGGCGGCGATATGAGAACGTTCCACCACATGGGATTAGCTGATTTTTGGTACAAATATGAAACAAGTAAAGCTCTATCCGATTGTCTGATGGAAATTTGCATCCAAAACTATATAACGGGAGAAAATTGCAAATTTATGGCATTTTTCTTCATAATTGTGTCTCTCCAAGTGCATTTTCATCCGAGAATATTTTTTTTTTATGTTTTATGAATAAACACGATGTTTTGGAAATATTTATCAAAAGAAATTTATACTTTGTTGCGAATTACAATTTCGAGATAACCTTTTATTTACGAACTTATGTCTTTGATGCTGAAATTGACAACTTTATAAAAATACATTTTCACTGAAATTATGAAATCTGGGTGTCGGAAAGGTGTAACATTATTTTTCGGAAAAGAAAAAAACAGTAGTTGAGCTAGATAAGAAATTATACGGGGGCAGGCTCCTATGGAGAATTAACATTACTGGAAACAGGCCCTTTAGAACAACGTCAAGTACATGTATATATTCTAAACCATGCCACTATTCCAATTACTAGAAACGTGACAGTCAGGTAACGAGCAGGCCAACATTATCATAACCATAATCTCACCCTAATAATAGTATAATATGGTTGCATTCTTGGAATTAACTAATTGCGTTCGTTCCACAGCACAAGTATTGAAAAGTATACATAAAATCATTGTTGAATCTATTTACACTGTGTGGTCATTTTCTAAAA